TGTGTGTGTGTGTGTGTGTGTGTGTGTGTGTGTGTGTGTGTGTGTGTTAGGGGGGAGGGTTGAGTGGCGACTGGTTCTTTTTCATGTTGGACAGCTTGCCCTGAAGGACTCATTGCTTTCTAGAAAAGCAAACTTTCCCACCTTTGGTGTGAGCATCCTAGTGTGGCAATGGCTCCACCTGCTGGCCATGCTGGGGTCCTACCGCTCAGCTTCAGTTCAACTGCCTCCATGTTGGGTTTCTCTCCACTACTGCCCTGCCCTTAAGCAGCCCCACACCTGAAGCTCATTTAAATATAGACGGTCACTGCTGGAGGAGACTTGAAAGATACTTTCAACTAGACTCCCTGTGGTACAGTTAAAGACAAACTAAGGCCCTGAGAGGGACTGTAGCTGGCCCAAATCATGTAGAATTCAGGTGTCCTGATCCGAAGCTTTTCCCACTCTTCTGCTGGGACCTCAGGGTTCCTCCAGTTGGATGTCCTGAAGCTGGAGAGGACAGTGTCAGGATAGGTCTGGGGCTTCACCTCTGGAGCATTTCATCAATGGGTGCTCTCCCAGGCCTGGGCAGCCAAGCAGGTCCCAGGACCTTAGTTCACTCTGCTGTGCCTGAAGTCAGCCCTGGAGAATTGACCCTGGACTCTTACGTAGTTCATTATGGAAAAGCATACCTAGATGTATCTTCTGCTAGATTTTCATTTAATGGATAAAGAGGAGGATCCCCTAAGCCTGGATAAAAAGGTCGGTGATGGAGTGGCCCTTTTTTTTTTTGCTGAAAATGCTTTATAATAATGCAGAACAGTTATATATAGCAAACACCTTTAAAATTTAAACCTTTGAAACATTTAATTTTCCGGCACGAATACACACAAATGCTACTACGGGGGTGGGCTGAGAATGGGGACAGGGTGGGAAGGGCAGATTACAGCCTCCAGAGGGATCAGAGTTTCAACAGTGTTACTTATAAATTATAGTACATCGATTTTATTTACTGACCTAGGCAGCCAGAGGATGGGAGGATATGCTATGTGGAGTAAACACATTCATACCGGGGTGAGGAATGCTAGAGGAGACACAGCTTTTTACACAGCTTTTTAGCATTAAAAACGTATAAAGTATTTAGCAAAAGTTACAGAAAACAGACCAAACAAGCAAGTGTCTTTTGGTTAGGAAATTCCACTTCCATGGGGTTTGCTACTGTGCTCCTGTCTGTGAAAGGTCTGCCCCCACCCCCTCCCCCATCAACTCCTCTAAGTGGAACAATCCCTCCTTTCCTCTTCACGTAAATCCAGTAGCAGTTGAGCAATTTAATGCAACGGGATGCTGCTTCTAATTCCTACAGCCCACACCCAAGAAGCCCACAGCCAGCATTCAGTCATTCAGCAAGTCTTCTGAACACTTACCATGTGCCAGATACCATTCTAGAGTCTGGGGACAGAGCAGTGAACAAATCCTCAGGGAGCTTACAATTCCAGTGCAGGAGAAACAAACACATTTATCTAAGCAAATCTATCCATATGTTTTCAGGTTGTATTAAGAGCTATGGAAAGTATAAAATAGATTGAGAGTAACGGTTGATATCTACATGTGGTTGTTACCCTCCAGGAGGTAAGAATTGAAAACACAGTTCATTAGAATGAAGTGGGGGAGAGATCAGGCCATGCAGAGGGAAGGGCAAGTGCAGGCGCCTGTGATGCAAACTCTGGCAAGTGCAAGAAGCTCTAGGTGAAGGAGGACGAGAAGACGGCTGAGGCTGTGTCAGAGGGAGTGAGGGGAAGAGTGGTGACAGGCCAAATCGCATCAGGCCTTTGAGGCCTCAGGAGTTTGGGCTTTATTAGCAGATGGGGAAAACCATTGGAGGATTTTGAGCAGAGAGGTAACATGATCTGATTTATATTTTAAAGGGATTGTGCTGACTGCTAAGTAGAGAATAGAGGTAGACAGGCAAGAGAGGGGAAGCAGGGAGACCAAGTAGACTATAGTGATCGTATCAAGAGGAATGGTCATGGCTGGGATCAGGGCGATAATAGTGGAAGTGGGGAGATGAAGTGGAATTCAAAAGATGTTTTCAAGGTAGAGCCAATAGGACTTGCTCCATCATTTATTGCTTCAAATCATCATCATCATCATCATCATCATCATAATGGCTAACCCTTACTGAGTACTGACTGTACCAACATTGAGATGCTGTATCAAAAATTAAATTAAATCCTATGAAGTAGGTACCATGATCTCAGAAAAAGAAATGGAAACTCAGAGAGTAACAGGGGACTGTGCTAGGGGCTCAGTGGCAGAGGCAAAGATGAACAAAATATGAGTTCACCTGAACCCACAGATTTTTTTTTTTTTTGGCTGTGCCGCACGCGGGATCCTAGTTCCCCACCAGAGATCAAACCCACACCTCAGTGGAAGAGGAAAGTCTTAATCACTGGATTGCCAGGGAAGTCCCAACCCCACAGATTTTTAAATCTTGGAGAGAATACTACAAGTGCATTCAAACCAAGAAACCAACAAACCAACAAAAATGAATGCAAGGCAGAAAGTGAGAAATAACACAAGAGACTAAATGAGGTGCCTAATACCCAGAGGTGGGCAGAACCCCTTCTAGTGGGGGAGATCAGGGGCTGGGTCACGGAGAGGTGATATCTGAGTGGGGTTGTAAACATGGATAAGAATTTGATGGCAAAAATGGGTGAGGAGGGCTTCCCTGGTGGCGCAGTGGTTGAGAATCTGCCTGCTAATGCAGGGGACACGGGTTCGAGCCCTGGTCTGGGAGGATCCCACATGCCGCGGAGCAACTAGGCCCGTGAGCCACAACTACCGAACCTGTGCGTCTGGAGCCTGTGCTCCGCAACAAGAGAGGCCGCGATAGTGAGAGGCCCGTGCACCACGATGAAGAGTCTCCCCTGCTTGCCACAACTAGAGAAAGCCCTCGCACAGAAACGAAGACCCAACACAGCAAAAATAAATTAATTAATTAATAAACTCCTACCCCCAACATCTTCTTTAAAAAAAAAAATGGGTGAGGATATTTGAGGCTGACAGAAGTACATACATATGTGTATGTGGAGATAGGGATACAGATATGTAAAAAGTACTTTCAAAACACTGTGTTTTCCAGTGTGGCAGAAAAGTAGGATATATGGAGGGAAGCTGGGTACCAGAAAGATATGTATCACTATTTGTGTAAAGTATTTAATGCCAGACCACAGAGTTTAGATTTATTCATTAGAAGAGAGAGGGCCACTGCAGAGTTTCCATTTATTCATTGATTTATTCATTTATTCAACAAAAATTTTTTGAGTGCTTATTTTAAGCCAGGTACTATGCAAGGCCTGGGATAAAACACAGTCCCTCTGTCAAGCCTTTACACTTGGTGGGTGTGGAGGAACAGATGACAGAATAATTAGCGTTGAGTGTGAGTGCTGTGGTGTAGGGAGCCTTGAGGAGGAAGGGCATGGAAGTCATGCAAGGCTACCCAGAGGAGGTGACATCTCAGCTGACCCTGAGGGACAAGCAGGATTTAAAAAGGAGAAGAGGAGATATGGATGTTCCAGAGAGAGGTAGGCACCTTGGCCCAGGCACAAAGTGAGACTGGTCATTCCAGAAATGTGAGTGGTTCTTTTAAGGCCCAAGCAAAGGATATGATTCTTCTTTGTATCTTTATTTCTATACTGAGACTTTCTATTTGTTCCTTTATTTTAAGCATATTATGATTGCTCATTGAAGCATGTTTATAATCGTTGTTTTTAAATCCTTGTCAGATAATTCCAACATCTCTGTCGTCTCAGTGTTGGCATCTGCTAATTATTTTTTCTCATTCAAGTTG